TGACAATCCAACCACCCCCCAATCCGACACCTCATCCAACACCCGACAAAAATACCACCAAGGTGTTTGTAACAACACTCCATACTGCCAAAACTGCGGTTGGAGCGATCATTGCACATACTATTGCGAAGCCTACTATTGCCCCAACTGTGACCGTCGTGCACCGGGACATAGTTTTAATTGGTGTCCCATCTGCAGGGAAGACAAGGATAGGATTCTGATGGAAGGATTACATGGAGACGTCAGCTACGATGATAGTTACAATATCAATGGCAAAGGTACCAAATTTTGGTGAAACTCGGAGCAAGTAAAGGGGTAATGTTACGATCTCTATTGGACATTTAAGGACTACTCATTTCTCTTTACTCATTGGTTATACCATCGGACCAATGAGTCATTTCCTTCACGTACACTTCCGTTCCTCTTGCATTCACAGTACCTATTATAGTACTTAGTCCTCAACGGACGGACCTGCCCTAGATAGGACCTAACTCCTATCACTGATTCCTTTCCATTATAAATACACATGTAACAGCAGTAGTATTCTCTAATATAATTCTATGCAGTTTATGCTTACAAAGCTAGACTCCTAAGATCAGACTTCTACTCAGAAGAAGACCAACTCTCGTTGGAAGAACTCAACTCAGAACTACATTCTCAAACTTATCTCCGGATAAGTCTCCCTTGAAACCTCGATGAACCCTCAGACTTTGTTAAGCACTTTGTGCGTAACACAAGGTACCATCTTGATTTTCTACCTGTCCAATTTTCTTACCAAACTTTGCAGACTATTCACGAGATATCTTCAACTCTCTCTGTGTGCATTCAAAAATAGTGGCACCTCGAGATCAAAGATGACTAGCTGTGTTTGATCTCTGTCCCTGCATTCCATCACGGAACTAGCAACAATCAATGTGAGTTTTTTTATTTTTATTTGAAATGTTAAACCACTCACTGAATGGCCTTACCAGCATTTCTTAAGGTTGCCATGGTATGTGACAGGAATTACCTTGAGGATATCATGAAGCTGACCTTGTATTTTAGATACTGTGGTGCTGAAACGATCCAGTTGGTCATAGTCATTGTCAATATCTGTTTGAAAGGTCTTGGTGGCTCCATGTAGCCAAAGTGCGTGAGTTATCTCAAACTGCTGCCCAAATCCTTTGATTGTTTGCTCATGATGCATGTCATCATTGTCTTTTGGGCTCTCAACTTTTTTTTTTCTCTTTTTCTCCCTTTTAATAGACCCGTTCTGACCTTCATTCATAGCATCATCATATTTATGACATATGGTTTTTGCTTCCTCCATTGCAGCATTTTCTGCTGAAATCTGAGCTTTACAGGCAGCCTATGTACATCATGAGCTTGTCTTCACAGACTAAATAAACTGACATGACTTTCACCTTGTATAGCAAAGCTGGCAACATGTTCCAACTAATATATAATACATTACTGGTATCGCAATCTGAGCTATTGCCAGGTGTTTGTTTGGGGCTTGAGTGTTGGCCATCATCCTGTGAGTCTGATGCTTCACTTGTACTCATTTCTGGCTCATCGTCATATCCCCCTGCACTTCCAGACACCCCTTTGCATGCATCTGTTATGTACTTTGTCTGGCGGCCTGATTTTTTTTCTAGAGTTTGAGTCACCTGACAATTCCTATGGGTCTTCTTCCCCTTGTCTTTGGTGAATTTCTGTTTCCTTGTCATCTGTGTAGTGTTGAGTGTTGTCAATAGAGACAAGCAAATAGTGGCTGGTGTGGAGCACCTAAACTGACCCTGTAGCGATGGGTACAATGTTACGTACACCAGTAAGCTCAGCACCACGGCCAACTTGGAGCTCTGACTGCTACAACACTTTACATTTTTCCTCAATCAGATCAACCATTGAGTCTTCTACACACTGTAGTATATTACTAACCATGTCTTGTCATATTCCAAGGACCACCAAGGCCAAACACAGACCATGGTGTTAGTATTGTCAGCAATACCAAAGCTCATAACACTTTGACAAGTACCTCATGTCTTGCAAAGCGAAGAATCAAGAACTCTCAGAGCTGAGAACACTGCAAGAAAATCTGAGGCAAAACTTGGAGGGATCATTTGGGAGGCCCAGGAAAAAACATAAGAAAATCATAGAGGTGCGCATACATTTGTTCTACAACTTTTCAAGCTTAAAATTGTATTTGCCTTGTCAGGCTGGTAAAATCAGAATCAAGTCAATAGCGAGGTTGAATCAGGTTCTCCAATTAAGGGTGCATGCCTTACTATGTAATTATCTATAGTGATTTTATCTTATCACCGTGTTTTCCAGACTTCAACTTTGACTCGCAGGATCTTGATACGAATGAGACTAATATTCCACAGGTATCAAGCACTTTCATACAAGTCAACCACCATCCTCAAAGTGGGAAGACTGAGCCAATATCAATCCCTCTCGACAATATTCTGGTAGCACCAACTCATGAAGCATCAGGAAAAATGAGGGTAGCTATATAGAGCTCTATAGCACTATAAGTACTCATAAAGCTGTTATAGTGGTCAAACCTATTATAGAACCTCTGCCATCTATAGAGCCTCATATAGCTCTATAAATGCTCTTATAAATGTTGGAAATTGTTGTGTGGCTGATAAAAAAAAATTAACACAGACAGGATTTGAACTCTCAACCTGCTAGTCAGCTTTTGGGTGACTAAACAACCTATAGCCACACATCACATTTATCCACTACACCATGAGAGCTTATAAAATGTATTATACAGGTATTATATATTGACCTTTCATGGACTTAGATTATTTTTTACTCATTGCCACCACTTATATTTGGATAAACCATTATTCTTATTTTATAAATATGAAAGATACAAACTACTATTTCACTAATACAGGCTACATAATTAATTAATACTGTATGATTTATTAGCCCTTTTAAGCACCTTGAACTATATTATAACTATGACCTTTACAGCTATAGGAGCTATGTAGGCTGCTATAGGCTATAAGAGCAATTATAGTACCTTGTCTATAATAATATACTTGACTCCAAACACTTCTGGCCTCTTTTTATTATTGAACAAGTTTATTAGATTAATCCAGAATTTGAGGGAATTCTAGATACTTCTCCCCTTGGTTAAAATTTTGCCTACTACTGTGCTATAAGAGCTATAAGAGCTATGATTGCACTGATAGTACTATAGTTTCTATGGATGCATTTATATATATAGGTGGTGGCTACATAGCGCTATATAGCACTATATAGCAAAAGGGTTTTTCCTGATGAGGCAGCCATAAAACTACATACAAGGAGGCATCAGGCATAAAACCATGGGCACCATTTCACCCCCGTGCCAATTTTGAGTATGCAGGAACAGTGGTTAAAGGACTCCTAAGTAAAGAGATAGTAAACCTTCAGATTCATGGGATACACCACGGATGGGCAGAGAACACTAAAATAACACTTTGGAACTATGCAAATATGGCACAGACTTTACAGGTGGCTGTTAGTTTTGGTGATTCTGCACCTTTGTGCTACCTATATATTCTCATTCCTTTCTCTATCTATTCTTCTATCATTCACTATTGATTGTGTTCTCTATTATTTCGCCTTTGTGGCTGCTTTGTTTACCTTTGTTTACAAAACTTCGGACAGTACTGCAGAGTCCAATGCTTCCTATTCTCTAGTTACTCACATTGGACTCTAGGTACTGTATACCTGTCATACTCTCTAATAATAAAGTTACTCACATTGGACTCTAGTTCCAGTCCCTGATTGCTCTCAGCAAGTGGCTAGACACTTCCTTCAAGCTTTGTTCTTAATAGTGGCATGTGCACATTATGTCCAGGTAGGCCAAATCAAGTTTTCTGAACTATTGTCCTTATCTTTCTTTGAGTTCCAAGAAGGCACCATTTCTGCAAATTATCTTGGAGAAACATACTACTCCAACTTCCAGTACTGCAATTTGTGGAAAATATACTGCAGCTAGATCATGGACGAAACCCTATTGCCTCTAATTCTCTGGCATCCAATCCATAAACATTTTTGTCAGCAAAATGGTAGGATTGTTCTGAAGGAACGCATATACAATGAATATAATTCAGCTAATATGTGGTGGAATATACAGGTAAAATAGATTGATTTCATTTACTATGGTCTTCTATGTTCACTGACATACAAACTTAACCGCAGGATCCTTTTCTGCAAAATAAAGAGCTACCACACTGTTTTCTCCCAATTTCACTCGGGCTGGACAAGGAGAATATCACAAAGCAGGTAAAGAAGCACCCCATCATTATTTGGCCACTATTCCTTCCACGAAATATAAGAAATGTGACAGGAAATGGTGGAGGGGTACTTGTGGGCTATATGCCCATTGTAAGCATTTCCTTACCATGTAAAGTGTGTTATTGAATCACAGGTTTACAGCCTCAAGATCCAAGCGACCCATCTGACCAAAATGCACCCAAAACAATCCAATGGCAGTGTTTCAAGTGAGAAGTGTATCACAAAGTAGCTGGGGTAATATTCCACCCATTAAAAGGTCCCGCATGCTTTGGAAAAGCAATGATATGCGGTGACAAGGTTAAAAGGGTATTACATCCTGGGATACCAGTCAAGTCAGTTGATGGGGAAGAGAGCTGTGCAGCTCTGGCCAATTGTCCTTGCCCCAAATGCTTGGTCCATCATGATAATTTAAACAAACTAACCAGAGATTTTAAGTGTCATACAACAAAAAACATGCAGCAAGTATATAAGTGTTCTATTACAGCACCAAATAAAACAGAAGCTGAACGAATTCTACAAGGCCAAGGACTACATGCAACTAAGGTGACCTCACCATTTCTTTTACTGCTTTCAACTAACCACTTCACCTACAGAACTCCCTTTGGTCGCTGGACTATTTGGACCCATATCAATCAATCCCATATGACAAACTACATTCTGATGACTTGAAAAATAGGGAAAACATCTGTGGCCGCTCCTCCTCAATATGCTAGCAGACAATGGAAATAAAGTCATATGGCCAGGAAGTAAGTCTTTAGTTCTGTCCTTGGAAACAGCCACACTAAAAGCTTCTGAATAACTTACGGCATGCAGAATGTATCAAGGTGGGCTGGGCTCAAGCATTTCATGAACATCACAATGGTTGAATATGCAGACGGTCAAGTATTCCTTGACATATTAAAGGTGTGTAGTCCATCATGAATTATTCCTCAATGCTCTATGCTAACTATACAATAGTGCATCCTTCCATGTATTGTTCAAATACTCCCTCAGAACTCATCATTAGTGCACTGTACCCAAGTGTACGCTCAATACCAGATTATGATAGGCTTCAACTGCATGACTGAAGGATGCTTACACCAACTAGAGCACTATATTTCTCAATACAAATATTACTGTGAAATGAGTAATAACTTCTGCTCTGCCATCATAAACTCTACTCTAATTGTATCTATAATCCAGCATGTTTTGAACGACTATGAAAAAGACTTCAACTTTAGTAAGCAATATGCCGTCAGCCATATCCTCAAAGAAATTTGGCAGAAAGGCGCAACCAACAATTATGACACACAAGTCAGTGAAGGATTTCACCAAGGAGCACAAGAAGCCTATGAGCAGACAAACCGCAAAGACACTGATGGCAAGGTAAGCAAATATATTCATGTGTGCTTGACATTAAGCTTACTAGTGATCCGCAGATGGCTTGAATTGACAAAAACCAAGAAGCTGTTGCTCGTATACAAATGACAATTGACAATTATGACAAAGCTGCCCGTGGAAATATTGATAATGAAGATTCAGAGGAGGACATTGAAGAAGGCAAGAACTTTGAGCAGCCTCCCGCTGAGAGGCATTGGACACTAGGCTCTCCAACAAACCTGACAAGCTCAGAAGTTATAGGGCTGTTACGCTTGGAATGTACAAGCCTGGTAACAAGGGGGTTTCCTGGTGATGCAGCGGTTTCTGATAAGCCCGTGGGTAACAGGTTTGAGATGTATTCTGATGATGAGGAGGGTTTTACTGAATGAATACCAAGTTGCACTGTTGAAGCATACAATCGTATTGGAGATGTTAACTACAATACAAGTGTATATATACTGTCCTAGTTTAGGGTAGGTGTTTGTGTTGAACAAACAACGACCGGTGAGAAACCATAACAGGTAACTAGTGTGGGAATAGGAATGAGTAACGGTATGTAGCTACTCAGAGAAGAAAATAAAATCCGTAAGAGTCATAGTTCGTAACATTACCCCCATTTTAGGTTTAGACTGCTCTGAAGTCTCCCAACTCTCCATCTATGTTGTACCGTGTATCGTCGTCCAAGTCGTTATGTATGTCATCTAGTCCCCAACTATCTGCGGCAAAGGGGTAATTTTGTTGTCAATTACACTCATTAGCACGGTGACCTGGGGCATCTAACCCGCATGTAGAACAAGTATGGTAGCGACAATAGATGGCACAATGGCCATACTCTTGACATGCATAACAATGTCGAATACGAGGGCAACATCTTTGTTCAGAAAAGGATTGCGAATGAGTCAAATTGGAGTAGTCAGATATGGGCGAGGGCTTCTTGCTCCTATTACCTGAGGATGAGGTGTCTCCTTCCTTGCTCCTCAACAACCTTCCATCTGGAGGCAAGCCGTTGCTCAGTGTTGGGGTCTGCCTCTGACCCGTGTGCTGCACACGGGGAGTGCGGCCCGAAGGGATAAGGAGTACCGGCTCTGGGCGCTGTCGGTGTAGTCGGCGGTTGCAACGAGGTTGAGGGAGTTGGGGGAGGGGCGTTGTTGGTTGCATAGGAATCAATATGTCCTGCAATTTGTCGACTGCTTCGGCTATGGGGGCTATTGAGTTGGTTGTGGAGGAATGTGCTGGGGATGGTGGAGCGGGCACGGGTAGAACAGGATCTGGCAACAATAGGCAAGACACTGGTGGAGGCGGTGGTGGAGAGTGAGGGGGGTGGCGCCCTGGAAATGTGTGTCCCGTTAAAGCCGGCAGGGACAACAAATCTGGGGGAGGGGAGGTGAGATACCCCCGTTGGGCGAGGATATTCCTCGCGTCTTTACACACCTTCTGGCCTCCTAATTGTAGGAAGCTCTCAACCGCTTCTTTCTCTCCATTCTCACAGTTCTTCCTCAAGCGTTGTTCCAGGGATTCTATCTGCAAGTGTTCCATGAGCAAAGTCGCTCCAATACTCAATGCGGAATTGTTGTCCCGTGTAAGCTTTTCTACTAACAACAAAGCCAGTAAGACGGTGACTGCGTGTAGTTCATCGGCGATGAGGAGTGATTGCTGCCAGCAATGGAATGTGTCCAAAGGGTAAGTGGTGTAGGAGCAAGTGATGTTAGACTGATGGAATAAATAGAAATATGTGCGCCTATCTGACATCAGTTCAGTGGCATCTACGATGTCGGTCTGTTCACGAGTGAGGGCTAGGCGGTGTGCCCATTGGGCTTCAGTGATTACTGGTGGTTCTGCGAGATAGGAGGGAAACTGAGGGGGCTGTGGGGTGGTTTGAGACATAGTTGTTTTGGTGGGAGTGTGTGTGTAAGAGGGAATTCATTTGAGGGACACTTTCTACAATTTGTGTCTCCTTTTATATTCAGTCAAGGTTTTGGAGGCATTTTGTAGGTTTGCTTCTTTTTCCCAGGAGTTTTCGGCCAACGGGTAGTCCTTCCATTTGATTAAATATAGGTATCCTTTTCTGTTCTTTTTATGACGTAGAATGGCTTCTACTTCGTGTTCCTCCTGGTCGTTGGTTATCTCCGCCGGTGGCCTTATATAGTTTTCTCCGTGGACTTCGGTTTGTTTGTACGGGGTTAGAAGGGTAGCATGGAATACGGGATAGATCTTCCATGTGTCAGGGAGTTTTAGTTGGTAGTTGACCGGTGATACCTTTTCAAGGATGATGAAGGGTCCTTCTCGTTTCCAGTTGAACTTCCGGTATGGTCTCCCTTTCTTCTTTAAGTTGGTTGCTTCCAACCACACCTTCTGTCCAGCTGTGAATGTGGGTAGTGGATGTTGCGAGTATTTTCTCATGCGTGTCCTGGCCAATTCATGGGCTTGTAGCGCTATAATTCTTGCTTTGAGCAGGTTGGATAGTCTTTTGTTTACTGCCGGTATGTTGGTCGTTATGGGTGTTGTGGGGAGATCTCTAGGGTGGTACCCCATCGTGAGGTAGAACGGTGATTCGTTTCAAGCTGAATGTGGTCTATGATTGTGGCAGAATTCTGCTGTCGTGAGATATTCTGTCCAAGAGTGTGGTAGGTTGTTGCAGAAGATCCGTAAATATGCTTCTATCTCTTGATTTACCCTTTCGGTTTCTCCATCAGATTGGGGGTGATATGTGGTTGATAGGTTTACTTCTGTTTTGAGTAGTCTCAGTTCTTTGGTAACTTCTGATGCAAACTGTGGTCCTCTGTCGGATATAAGTTTGTCGTGTAGTCCAAATCTTTTAAACACGTGTTGGTGGAATAATTTAGCTGTTTCCAGTGCGTCAATGGTTTTCTTGTGGGGCAATAGGATTACCCCCTTTGTAAGGCCGTGGTCTACCACAACCATGAGACTGTTGTATCTGTTGCTTTCCAGCAGATCAGTGATAAAGTCGATGGATAAATTTTTGAATGGTTCTGTCGTGTTCGGGCCTACAATCGGTTGGATGGGTATTTTGGTGGGGTTGGTGATTACCTTGCTTTGCTGGCATACCGCACATTCTGTGACATAATCCTTGATCATTTGGGTTATACCAGGCCAATATTAATGTCTTGTTACTAATTGGGTCATTTTGAGTTGTCCTGGGTGTCCAGCGGTTACCAAATCATGCTGTTGTTGGATGCATACCCTTCGTTCGGGTCCCGTGGGAATGTAATGGCGACCCTTGTAGAAGACGTCATTATCTGTCATTGTCCAATCCCTTGGGTCCAAGTGCATTGGCAATTTGGTTCCTTCTTGTAAGCTGGTTTGTATATGTTGTCGATGATGAGAACTGTTGTTAGAAAACCACACACACAAAAAACAAACTAACACACAATCCTCCCAGATTCCATGGAACTTGTTTATGGGCTTTGCCTCCTAGAACAGTGGAGTGGTCTGGTTGTTCGTGGGGTGGTACGTATAAAGATCCTTCAAAGTAAAACCCAGAGGTGTATGAGTGTGGGTTTTGAGGAGGAGGGATAGTTGAATTTATAGAAGGATAGGGGCTTTGTGACGAGTATAGACGAGCACTACCTTGCTAATTGTAGCACAAGGTAGGTTTGAGAACGACAATATGACGAGGTTCCCAGTGATAGCAGGCTCCTGATGCACAAACTGTAGTGCTCAGAAGGACTCTAATCGAAAGGGATGACAATGACTTCAAAAGTGGGAAGTGACGATGACAGCAGTTGACAGTGGTAGAAGTGGGAAGTGTTGTGACCACACTGGATCACAAGTAGCAGAGTAGTGAACTTGAGAGTAGAGAAGAAGTCTAGAGTGGAGTTCTTGTTCTTTTTACAAGGTAAAATACAGGGGTTTATATAGTAAAAGAAAAGTAGGCTATGCACAGTATAGCTGTGCAAAAAAGAATGAGAAAGAATATGAAGGAAGGAATGTACGCTGACGAATCCTGCGTAGGTAGTACAGGATAAGATTGTCAAAAAAGGAAAAGAAAGAGATAGAACAATGAATGCTGTGAGTAATGTCACAGGTTTGTACAGCCATAAAGTAAAGTCCAATAGCAAAAAGAGAGCAGGAAAATCATGATGTCATGGGAAGATGCAGTAAAAAAAGGGCAAGGCAAAACACTATCAGTATCAACACAGTTCCTTTATTGTCAGTCAGGCATTCTAAAAAAATATGTGTCCATAAAAATGATTCAAAAATCAAAAATAATCGCACTGTAAATGAATGTTCTGCTGAAGAAAAAGAAACTGGAGCCACTGGTCCACCACCTAGTCCAAATCCGACAGTTCCATGGCCTTACCAATGGACTGGTTGTGTTGGACCACCTGATCAAACGAGGGAGGGAGAGGAGTAGTTCCAATTTGGAACAAGTGAGTCCCAGGCAGCGTGTGGTAGGTGTAGCTGTAGCGAAGACGATGGACAAAAGATAAGTGTACCCAAGTGAATGGGACAGTGATGAACATGGGCGATGCAAGGGGATGAACCTTCTCCAGCTCAAAAACTACCCACCCACGCTCCAACCAGGCAAGACGAGCAACCGATGTTTTGATAGTATATGATGGTAGATCGATGTCATGAAGATGGACCTGTTGCCCTATTTGAACCGGCCGCCGGGGCTTTGCTGATATCAGTAGTGGCACGTGGTAGTCAACGGATCGGCGACGGAAGCGGATAGGAAGTGGTGACATCAGAAATGGTGGGGGTGCAAATAAAATGAGGAGGAGGAGGGTGGAGGTGACGGAAAAGTGGATTAGAATGGGGATCCAGAAACGACTGTCAGGTGAGAATAAAAAGGAGAGGAAGGGGCCCATGGTGGGGCTAGGCAAAGGAAGGGGAGTAAGGGAAACGACAAAAGCGAGGGCGCAATGCAATGTGTAGCCAGTGGCGACGCGAAAATTTGCCAAAATGCCAAAACACGGAAAGTACCGAATGGAAAAGCAAAGGCGAGCGTGACTGGATTGCCTAATAGAGGTGGTGCTGATCAGCCACAAGTTCGAAAAGGGCAATATTAATTACTATTCCACATGGCACTGTGCCTATGTGGCGCAAAGGCGAGTCTTTTTGAATATTCGCTTCGTTATTGACACCTGTCCATGCTACCAATCAACTTTGGTGCGTGACAATGTGTGAAAAAGAGGTCGGTGTTTGCGACTGCCACAAAAACGGTTTTTGGAAGTAGCGGTGTATCTTCTTCTTCTTCTGTATACAGATCCGGTCTCCTGGAAAGTTTATCCGGAATTGTCATATGTGTTCCAGGTACGTGTTTCAAAGTATAATTGTATTGTGAGAGTAGAAGTTGCCAATGTCTTTGCCGTGGTTTCAGTTTTCTGGCCTCTTGCCAATACATGACATTCTTGTGATCAGTTAAAATCTCCACCGTGTGAGCAGTTCCTAAGATGTAATGTTTCCATTCTTCTAGTGCTCTGATGACGGCGAGAAGTTCCTTGTCATAAATCTGGTAGTTATTTTTGGCTGGAGATAGAGTTTTGGAGAAGAAGACGCATGGATGCCAGACTCTATTGCCATCAGGTTGGTTCAAGACTGCTCCGGTTGTGTGTTTTGATGCATCCGCTGCAATTTGGGATGGTTTGTTTGGGTCAGGTATCTGTGTGACAGGTGCTACACTGAAACAGTATTTTAGTAGCATAAATGCCTTTTCTTCAGTGGTAATCCAGTCCCAAATCTTTCCCTTTTCTAACAGTGCGTTGAGTGGCCTTGCGAGTTCCGAGTAGTGAATTTGCGGTAGAAGTTACTGAAACCGAGGAATTTCCGGACTTTGTGAACATTGGTTGGGGTTGGTCAATCCTTGATCCCTGCAAGTTTTACCGGGTCCATTTGTACCTGGTTGTGACAGATGATCATGCCGAGGTATTCTATCTCTTTTACATCAAACGTGCATTTTTCCAGTTTTAGGTATAGGTCGTTGTTGTGTAGTCATTGCAATACCCATTTTGTCCATGTTATTCTGGTCCTTGGCTGAATATCAGCATGTCATCCATGTATATGATAAGCCACCCTTCATCTATCATATCTGCAAAGAAGTCTTTCATCATGCATTGGAAGGTGGCTGGGGAATTGCACATGCTAAAGAACATGACCGTGGGTTCGAAGAGTCCTTTTCTTGTTTTAAATGCTGCTTTCCATTTGTCTCCTTCTTTTATCCGAACATTGTTATACCCCCAATGTAGGTTCAGCTTTGTGAAGTGTGATGCTCCACGGAGTTTATCGATGAGATTGGGGATTATGGGCAGTGGGTAGGGATCTCGGATGGTTTGTTTGTTGAGTTGACGATAATCCTGACAGGGTTGTAAGGATCCATCTTTTTTGTCTATGTAAAAGAAAGGGGAGGCCATCAGAGATTTGCTAGGTCTGATGTATCCTTTTTGAAGGTTGTCGTTAAGGAACTCTTCTAGTGCGGTGTTTTCCTTGGGCAAAAGAGGATAGGTTTTGCAGTTGCATAGTTTGAATTCTGGTTTTAGGTTTATGGCGTGACCGTAGATTCTTCTTTTGGGTAGTCTTTCTGAAGCCCAGTGTTTGTTTTTGTGAAGATCCGTGTTTTGTGTACATAGTTGATTAATAACTCTGGTTGGTCGATTGTGATGGTGCGAATCATGGATTGGTTGGAGTGAGATCGGATCGTGCAAATGGTATGTTGGGTGTCCACGCTTTTGGATGTCCAGTCTATAGTAGGGTTGACCTTGCGAAGCCACGGGTATCCAAGGAGAATGTCTTCTCCTCCTAGTCCGGTGATAAGGAATTTACACATGGTGTTCCTTCCTCCTGCTTCTATCCTTTGATAGGTGTAATGGGTGATCTTCCCTCCGTTGCTGATGGTTCCATCTACATTTTTGCATGTGATGGGTACATTGAGTTTGTTAAGGGGTAGGCGGTGTTTGATGGCAAATTTTGTATCCATAAAGTCGTCGGTTGCTCCAGAGTCAATGAGTGCTTTGGTTCCAATGGTTTTTTGTTGTAACATGGTGTCAATTTGTAACGAGTTTGAATTAATTGTAGCTATGGTTACAATGGCTATTTGGGACGGTACCAACATTGGGGTGGGTCGTCCTTTCAAAAACCCTCTTTTTCCAATTCATCAATGGCGGAGGCGCAATTGGCTTCTCCAAGTTCTCTCCACATTTTGAGGATGTGGGAAATTCCTTTTCCGTCTTCTACTACAGTCTCCGTTTCATCCTTTCTTGTGACTTTGGCGGTACTGGTGTGAAGTCTGGTGACGTCGGGTTGGGGAAAGGGGGGTGGTGCTGCTGTTCTTTCTTGTCTAGATGACACTGGGGATGTTGCCATTTGGGTAGGCTCTGCTCTGGTCTGTGCCCTGGTAGTGGGCCTTCTTCCTTGCAACAATTTGTTGTCTTTTTTGTCCCTTTGCTAAGAAGTGTGGGATGATAATGTGGAATACAATTGTTTTGTTACGCTTGGAACATACAAACCTGGTAACAAGGGGGTTTCCTGGTGATGCAGCGGTTTCTGATAAGCCCGTGGGTAACAGGTTTGAGATGTATTCTGATGATGAGGAGGGTTTTACTGAATGAATACCAAGTTGCACTGTTGAAGCATACAATCGTATTGGAAATGTTAACTACAATACAAGTGTGTATATATACTGTCCTACTTTAGGGTAGGTGTTTGTGTTAAACAAACAACAACCGGTGAGAAACTATAACAGGTAACTAGTGTGGGAATAGGAATGAGTAACAGTATGTAGCTACTCAGAGAAGAAAATAAAATCCGTAAGAGTCATAGTTCGTAACAAGAGCAGTGTGAGGGCTTTAAAGGATTCCACAAGTAGTTGTGAAAGTAATCTCAGACTGCAACATATACAAGTAAAAGAGACACCAATCATTTCTGAACAGACATGGTCTGAACACGAAACATTTGAAGAATGGAAACCAGCATATCAGGCGGTCAATGACAATCAGTGTGACACTGCAAATCTATCTTCAGTGAGGCCTACAAGTTCTAGTTATTAATTTCCATAATATAGGAATATGTTGCTGTTGACTAGATCATTTAAATAAAAACATCCTTCCTTCATATCAAAAGCCCATATCATGTGAACCCCACTAATCAAATACTTAGGTATTACCAACTCTGAGTCTCTCGTTTCTTCATACAAACGAGCACCAGACCATGTAGTCCTCAGGTTTGCATTCAATGGTTTGAACGTCTTCACAAATGCAATATCAAACGAGGAAGAGTGGATAGAGCAACAAAATAAACTTTGGAGTTGAGAGGGAGTTGATTCCGGAGTACTTATATTAACAAGGACACAATTGAAGCAAGGTTCCTTATTTAAATTGGGGTTGCTATGTAAAAAATTGTGCCTCTTGCTCCAGTCTTCCAGAGATTGATAGGTTAGATAAATACATTGATACTTTCTGATCTATTAATCAGGGACAGTGTTAGAAAGAAAAAATGTGTATAAATGTATTGATCAACTCAATCTAATGGGTTCATCTGCAGTTGCTGACCCGGCTGACTTGCCTGATTGTTTTCTGCCTCAGGTCTGATTGGCTTTCAATCATTAACATGTCAGACCATCAGATGGAACAGGATTGTTACAGAGGTTCATTGTGCTTGATCAGATGAAGTGGATTTTTCCGGCATTTTCATTTTGTCCAATGCGGACCCTTATACTTCTTGCTTGATATGAATTAATTAGGATTTTTAGTTCGAGAGAAAAGCTGAACCTCGGTAGATACAAATATAATACTGTAAGAAGAGCTAAGAAAAATGGTGCCATGTAAAACGAGATAGATTTTTTGTGGCAAAGATGATAAAAATTTAAGTTGATGATTTGCCTCTTCATGTCAATAGTCTCAAGCCAAGTCATGTCATGTCATGGAGTCAGTTGTGGATGACACCTATCTTACTTAATCCACAATCCTGAAATGCACGTAACATAGTGTGAGAAATATTGTTTGCACTGAGAGTTGTTCAAAACGAACGTGTTTGCAAACGGCTCTTGTTTTGGAATGGAGGTTGTTGAACAGGCCCTCAGGCTTACCATCATACAGATATGCACAATCCTAGTCAATGTAATGCCCATGCTAGCCCAACAATACTACATCATAGCAGCCCCTAGTGCCAGTCCACAACTCTGGGGTAACTTAAAATTTGATCATTATGAAACCAAAAAAATTCTGCCAAGGTCATGTAATGCCTCAGCAGGAGCCAGCAGCACCAGCAGATGCTGGCAGGATGACAACACCTATGCCAGACCTTGTATGAAACCTTTTATTAATAATTCCCACCCATCTGCTGATGATGTGCTATCACAAAAATCAAAACAAAAATCTGCTAAGCCTATGCAAAGTCTTAGCAGGAGCCAGCAGGCCCAGCAGGTTCTGTAATTGTGACAACATCTATACCAGGGGATGTACAAAAAAAACCTGTTCACTCTCCTCAACTAGCATATTGTATTCTGTACAATGTCACATTTATTTTCTGTCACCCTTTTATTAAGGTGTACTTTTGGAATATATTACATGATTTTATTTTCCACTGTTGTTGCCTTAATTGCTTCTATTTGCACACTCATAGGATTATTATATTTTCAAATTCACAGGAGGGATTTGAACTAAAGCCACTCAAAGACCGACCACTGTTATTATATACATACCATTACGTAAAAATACATATAATGTGTTGCAGAAAATACACGCCTGGGCCATACCATGCAATCTGCTGCTGAACCTGCTATATTCTGCTAATCTATGCCAAGCTCACCCAATGAGGGTATCTGTATGCTGATGCCCAGTCGTAAACAACAAAATATATACCGAATTACATCGAATTTCATTGGATATTCAATGTGATTCGGTATATATCTTAAAACTACTGTAATCCTAGATTATTTTCGAATGTAAAAGACTAGTATCTAACCACAATGATAGCACAGAAATCATTTGATTTAGTTAGATGGTTCTTATTATATTTTGCTTATTATATAGAATATTTGAACCATAGCAAATCAAAATGAATTTACAACTAAACTAATTACGTTTCAAAATGTCACCCGCCAAAAAAGTCGTGTTTCGTTTTAAAACGGGCCCGTTTTGGAACGAGCTGACGTGTTTGGCAACTCAGCTCGTTTTGAAAAAACTTTGTCACACTGGTCTGCAAATTGTGTTCCCAACTTTTACACTCAAACTACAGTAGCTTACACTGCTCTATCACTCTCAAACCCACCTCAAAAGCCCCCAATGACCTCTCAAAAGCTCACACTCAAGATTTCATCTTTGAAAAACAGGCTCCTTGCCAACAAAGAGAACCAACCTCCTAGTCAACAATCTCAGAGTCCAGCCCCAAAAGAGCCCCGAAACGCGAAATGGACATCAGAGGATGATGCCACATTAGTGGATAAATTGAAGGAGGCACAAATGGAAGGTAATCAACCTGACAATAATTTCAAAAAACCAGCTTTTGTTGGTGTAGCTGTTGTGCTGGTGCAGAGCCATAAAACCAGTGGTGGTGCACCAAAGACATCTACAAATTGTAGCCGACGTTGGGGAACAGTAAGTCAACCATTGTACAACATATATTGTACTGATTTTTATCATCACAGTTAAAGGCTATGTGCCTTGTTGTTCAGCAGCTCTGAGAGCTGTCTGGTTTTGGATGGGATGATACCAGAAAGAAAGTAACTGCTGAAGAAGATGTGTGGGATAACTATATTGCAGTAAGTGTAGAGTCAATAATTTAGTATGGGATGTACTCAATTAGATCTGTCTCAGTCCCATCCAGAAGCAAAGCCATGGCGTACAAACCCTTTTCCACTCTATGACGATATAATTGGACTCATTGATGGACGCTATGCCACTGGTGAGGGTGCTTTTCATATCCCAGAGATTGATGAGCCTTCTTTGCCCTTGCCTCATCCTTATGAGGAGCAAGTGGATCAAGATGATGTGGGCACAGCAGATGGTCATCCAGAGAGTGATTTAGACTTGGATGGGGAAAAAAAGTCTCAGGTATGTGATATGGCTTGATGTTGACTTTACCTCACTATTCATTCTTCTAGGATTCTATTGAAGTGTCTCAGAGCTCAAAACGCAAATGTGCAGCTTCTGGATCACCCACTCCTGCATCTGCATCAAAGGGCCTTCGTACCAAGGTGACAGGACCTTCTGCCATCCTTGTAATTGCAGATGCACTTAGTGCTGTGGCTTCATCACTCAGTCGTCCTGACCCTAGTATTTCCCAGATTATTGGTGATGTCCCCAGCACACCTAAGAGGAGAATTGCTGCAATCAAGGCTGTTTGTGTTGATGATGCATTGGCCACTGCTGAGCGCACACAAGCAATTGCACTATTCACCAAGAATATTGCCATTGCTGATGCATATTCTGCTATCTCTGATGATGTCCTTCGATCCAACTACATCTGTCTTGAGATTGATAGCATGTAGTTAAAATAGCTTTACTATTACTAGTTTCCAGTTTGAGTATACGTGATATACTGTTCCCACATTGTCTTTGCAATTATATCACGTTTAAGTATTGCCCTCTCCTTTTCCTGAGGTGTGATGACATGACTATGATCCCTTTGATCCTGCCGCATAGCTTGACTATTCTGTCCACCACCTATGCTGTCCCCTTCTTCATTGTTACTTTCCTGATGACAGTAACTCATATGAAATTGTGAAGAACGCCAAGTGCAGGAACAAGTTTTGCTTGTACCTCCAAAGCATACTCTGGAGCTGCAACCATTAGTCAAAAGTGTCTCTTGACCACCCCAAAGATGCGCTCAATAACATTACGAGCTTGAGCATGACGTAAATTGAAAGATAACAAGTATGAGCTGAGATATCAAAGTGGAAGAAATGAAGACCTTTGTGAAGCTCTACCCTATTCCTTCAAATGGTATCGTACTCCACGGTAGGGGACCAAAAGGGAATCACATGAGGGAAAGCCTGCATCCGCAAGATAATATAGACCTGAATACAAAGCCATTGCTCCAAGCATTGTTGTACACACGACTATCAGCAGCACTGCCCTCCCAGCCAGACAGGACATATGAAAAGTGTATGTTAAAGGTGCAAGCAGCAAGGATATTTTGAGAGAGTCAACCCTTCCGATTACGATAGCGTCCAGTAAGAGCATCATCAAGAACAAAGATATCAATGTGGCTACCATGTATGGCACCACGACACTGTTTAAAGAAGGGATAGAACTTGGGCTCATCTCGGATTTCAGGAGGGACCTCCTCATTAGGGGGGAGATTGATGTATTTCCGGTAAAAGGCAGGAGAAACCACCATATTGAGCATATGGTGAAAGATCCTATAAGTAACAAGGTTTGATACTCAGTGAATGATATTGAAGAATAAACACATGCATGCTTTGATATTGTATCAGCACTATGCTGGAACCTCTCCTGCATATCCCTATTTGTTCCACCAGTGCAACACATTCGGAGAAAGATAGCAAGCTGCTCCTCTGTTGAGATATGCTTGGAGTGACAAAAACCTGCATGATCCTTGAGCTCTTGAAGGAGCCTGCGGAAAACTGGCTTGGAAAGCCCCATCATATTATGGAATCAACAAGGATGTCCACATAATAGCTCCCTAACCCAAGCATGACCAGTTAAAATTGATTTAATAAAAGATGATACTGAAGCCAGTGATACAGCAGCAGCAGCTGTGGCTGAAGCCAGGGAAGCAGCCTTCCTTCGTTGAGCATGAGACAACTTAAGGAGAGCCGAGGCAGCTGCTTTCTTTCGAGAGGAGGATGTGGTCATGATGGAGGCTCGGGGGGCAGGAAAACCACAATCTACTGACGAAACGCGCGTGACATGGTGTGACATAGCGTGAGAACTTTCGTTTGCCTCTCAGCTCATTCAAAACGAGCGCGTTTTCAAACGGTGGCTGCCGAACGGGCCCTGAGTCTTTGACTTTCCCGCGGCCATTTGAAGTAGCACAAACAATATGTTAGCTGTAATGAAAAAAGAACATCTGAAAGATATTTACCTGAAGTAGTGGGTCACTCCCCACAATTTTACACTATTCATCAAAATCCCTCGTTAAGTGAGTGCAGACCTGTCTAATAGCAAGTGGGAAATACAAGTGTTAGTAAAGATTGTGGCCGAGATGGTGGTACAGGACAAAGGATGAAAACGAACATGTGCAAAATGTGACCAAATATACGGGCACACGATTATGCAAGCATCTGCACGAACTTGCGACGCTGCAGTGCGTTGTGTTTTGTGTAAAAGTGCACGAGATCACACGCAATCGCAAGTTCTGTTGACTCGAAGTCGCGCCCCAAAATCGTGAGAAAGTTTTATGATTGGGATTAGATTCGATGTAAATGGTCTGATTCGACAGGATTCTATTTTATTCGGTGTATCTTTTGTCGTTTCTTACTGGGGCTGATGTTTGCCAAACACCATCAGGCAATAGCAAGAATCAACCGTTTTCCTGATGGTCCTGTCCATACTTGAGTCAGGTATCGTGTAATTCTCAGGCTCGCATCAATCACCCACAATCTTGAGAATCGTGCATGATAATCCAATGATAATCATTGCTGGCACTCGAACGTGGAACCCATGAAGCTTGATTATGCTTGAACGTGTGCTAGTCTCCTGGTTACCATGCCTGAGATTGGCACTTCAGGGCTTTCAGCCTTGATCAGGTACCGACAGATGAAATGTCTAGGTCGCAGAATGCCCTAGGAATTTTGCTTATTGGACACCACGGATGATGACGGATCACAGCTTTCCCACCTAGCGCCTTATCTACCACAGCAAAGTATGATCCGTCATGTCTTCTTCAAATAAACGCCTTGCCGGAGACCGTATCCTTGAGATTCCGAAGTGTGTGCCACTGTATGGTGAGTCTCAATTTAGTTCAATATCTAATTCTTTGCTCAACTAAATCCATCCAGAAATGATAAATCCGTGTGATGCTTATTTCTGGAGTGAAAAATAACGGGGAACGGTAGGGACTTGTTCACTTTATTACCGTACGGCGTACAGTCAGGACATGTCACTAGTTATCCTTTCGACGAAGAAGGCCTCACGCACACTAATCTAATTCGATAACCCCTCACGGTCAGGTCTGTTCTCCCATTGACGGTGTTTGAAACAATGTATGCTGAGAACAAGCTGAAACACAAGCACATTGGATTTGACTTCGGTCTTAGTTTTCTCCTTTTCTCGTAGATTTTGGCACAGTAACCAGCAGTAACCTTGTGAAATGCTTTCTATGATTTACTCTGACGGTCGCCAGCCGCGCGGCCCGGTTATATGAAGTTCGCACGATTGTCTGATAAAGACTCTTAAGCGGATTATCGGCGTTCACTCTTCAGCGTATCTACTCAATCTCTGCTCACTTCTATCCTCTGAAATTCTAACAAAATGCCTGGTACAGACAGTGAATTCCCAATCGATCTCAAAAAATACAAGAAGTCGGTGTTATACCTGTATTTGTGTTATCCCATCAAACTCATCGCAATCGCAGATTGACGCTCGATCCCACTAAGCCCCAGCTTACTGAGGAGCAGAAATCGACGCTACTCCACAATATCCAGTTGTTACGAGATGCTATTGTACTTTTCACAGCGACGGGCGCTGCGAGAGGTGTGAGTGGGCATACAGGTTGGTGGTATATCTGTATGCTAAGCATAGGATGTTTTCTAACGAGTTATGATGCAGGTGGAGCCTATGACACCGTTCCCGAAGTTTGCATTCTTCTCAGCTTGTTCGAGGGCTCCGACAAGTATCTGCCGATTATGTTTGACGAGGCTGGTACGAAAACAATGATGTCTGTCATTCGTTTGATACTGAATGCGATGTATGTAGGACACCGAGTGGCTACTCAATACCTTCTCTCGGCTCTCGAGGGCTCCCTCCCTGCTGAGCATCTCCTCCACTACCGCGAGGCCAACTCCAAACTTCCTGGCCATCCCGAATTAGGCTTAACTCCTGGTGTCAAGTTCTCTTCTGGCCGTTTGGGTCACATGTGGCCATTAGTTAACGGCATCGCCCTGGCTCATCGGGATAAAACCCTTTTCTGTCTTGGTTCTGATGGTTCGCAGCAGGAAGGCAACGACGCTGAAGCTGCCCGACTGGCTGTAGCGCAGAACCTCAACGTCAAATTGCTCATCGACGACAATGACGTCACTATTGCTGGCCATCCTTCGCAATACCTGAAAGGGTACGACTTGACCAAGACTCTTGAGGGACATGGTCTCAAGGTCTACACCGTCCAGGGTGAAGATATCGATGCCCTTTGGGGTGCTATCAGCTCTATTGTCACCTACGATGGACCTGCTGCAGGTATATCCAGTCTGATTCTAGTCAAAGTTGGCTGTGCTAATATGCCTTTTAGTTATCTCCAAGCGGGTCATGGCTCCCGGAATTGCAGATATAGAAGGCAGCACTCATGGACACGACGTCATTCCAGTCAAGGCAGCCATCAAATACCTCACTTCCCGCGGATACCCCGAGTCTATTGCTTCCGACATCCTCCTCAACATCAAGCCAGCTTCGGTGCCTTACTTGTACATTGGCTCGACCAAGGACGTCGGTGCAAACCGTGTCATCTTTGGTGAGGCCGTCAACTTGGTACTCGACAAGCTCAGCAAAGAGGAAGCAGCGAAGAAAGTCATGGTTATTGATAGTGAGATATATTATTTCTTTGCGCTACTAACTACCAGATCTTCTGACAACTTTGTTGCGCAGGCGATTTGGAAGGTTCCACTGGTCTGAAAGTCATCCATCAAAAGCACCCTGAAGTATTCGTCCCCTCCGGAATTATGGAGCGCGGAAACTTCTCTGCTGCAGCTGGTTTCGGTTTTGATGCCGACAAATTCGGAGTCTTCTCCACTTTCTCCGCATTTCTAGAGATGATCATATCTGAGGTCACCATGGCCCGTCTCAACAACTGCAACGTTTTGTGTCATTTCTCTCATTCCGGTGGTATGTGTGGTTCTTAGTGCTGATACTGAAAGCTGATCTTCTAATCTTCACAGTTGACGAGGTTTGTCACCGATGAATACGCGAAGATCTACAAGGCTAATATTTCATTATAGATGGCCGACAACACCTGTCACTTTGGTGTTAACTCTCTTTTCGCTGACAACGGTTTGTCGGATGTCCAGTCATGGCTCTACTTCCCCGCCGACCCTCTACAAATGTTTGCTGTCATTCAACGCGTATTCTTCGAGCGCGGTATACGTTTCGTTTTCTCCACTCGCTCCAAGGTGCCATATATCCTGAAGGAAGATGGAAAGACTAGGTTTTTCGACGGTGACTACAAATTTGTTCCTGGAAAGGACGAGACGATAGTTGAGGGCAAGGCTGGATACGTCGTGTCATTCGGAGAAATGCTGTACAGATCATACGATGCAGTTCTGCGATGCCGACAGGAAGGTCTTGACGTCGGCTTGATCAACAAGCCGACATTGAACATGGTCGATGAACCGGTAAGAGTTCCATTCTAGGGCAGCGTGGAACTGGATCACTTACACACAAAACTAGATGATCAAAAAGATTGGTGCGAGTCCTTTCGTCCTCGTCGTCGAGTCGCTGAACCAAAAGACTGGGGTATGGTGTTTCTTCTTGGACTGAGACTTTGGTTTGCTGAAATGAGTCAACAGCTTGGCTCTAAGTACGGGACCTGGTTGCTGGAACGTCAACTCACTCCAAAATACGCTTACATGGGCACTACGAAAGAAGGTGGGGTTCACGTCCCAGCTGGATCGAATGTTAATGCTAAAATTATTTCCCGTAGGATGTGGTGGCTTGAGCGAACAGATTCCTCATCAGAATCTCGACCCTCAAGGCAAGTTACTCCAACTTTTTATTCTGTGGTTTGGACACTGACACTTGCAAAATATAATTTTCAGCGATCATCATGAGAATCAAGCAACTGTCGCAGTAAATTGTTGTTTGGGACCTGTTGTACGAATACGAAGCAAAACATATAGAGCATCAAATGTTGTCATAAATGTAAAATCTCGAAAACAGATTAATTCTTTTACTGTGCCAATAGCATTGGATGATTAAAAGTGAGGATTAACTAGATGTATTCAAAGCATTGGTAACATAATATACATATAAGTGAAGACCTTCCACGTCTGCACAACTAGACAACAACTTCCAATTCTGCTGAAGCGGCCGGCCTAAAATCGAAACAGCATGAGTTAAATTCTGAAAAATGCAGCAGAGTACAAGTCAGGGAACCGAGACTCGACAGCTGCTATCTCCATAAGAGAGACAGCGTTCGGACGGCACTTCCTAATTGCTTTCGGTTGGAATCATCATGATGTTTTATATGATCTGCTGGATCATAAGAAGGATGGAATTGTAGTACTCACCGTTGGGTTTTTGACTGTTTTTCATCCTTCAATGCGATGGTGTGTTGAAGAGGTACTAATCTCTGACTTAAATATTAATATTTCATACTCCGATTGCGCGGTTTGTGCAGCGAAAAACCTTATTTATCAACACCATTTCGTTATTTCTCACGCCTTGCCAGCAACAGCCGAGCGTCTCTTTAGGGGGGATAACAGAAATCTGCCCTTCTGCAAGCTCAAATAATTAGATCGGTGAGTATCATTCAATGCAAGTCTCGCAAATTGGGTAGTTTATTTTTTAGTCCCTTTTCTCTGTTTTTATCCGTTCTTTGATTAAAATTACATGATCATTTGTCACCGTGGGCGTCGCAATACATTTTTCCAAATGACTTATCCTTCGCTTGGCTAGGATTATTTTGCATTTCTCACTTCGATATTCATACTCGAATTACCCTTCAGGGTACCAATACAATCTCAGTGTTCTGCGTTTCACTCGTCTGATGACTTTCATGTTTGTAGGCAAGGAAGATGGATGGCTCTATGCCCACCATGTCGTCCGACCTGGGAGCCCATAATATCGTCCCAGGAAGCACGTCCAGTGCACCTCAGCAACACATGCCGTCTACGAATCACAATTCCACCCCCAATATACTTCAAACTGCTGTTGGTCCAGACACGCCACCCGTCAAACGTAGACCTGGGCGTCCCAAAGGGAGCGGCAAAAAACCACCGCTTGACAACGTTGATCATTTACCCGACAAAGTAAAACGACCTGTTGGTCGACCCAGGAAAGACGGTTTGCCTGCTGGCTCTGTTGGCCCACGGCGTTCGAACAGGCCACGCAAGAGCCCAGGCAAAGTCAATCCACCGACTAGTGTCAGTGCTTCGCAGCCTCCGGCAACTCCTGGTCCCGTTCCTTTCCCAGGGGTGAGTGTTGTATGCATATCTTGAATATCCTCTCTGCTGACATTTATATGCAAGGCATATTACCCTCAGCATCCTGGAATTCCTTCGCATTGGCAGGCAGGTTTTCCAGTTGGTCCAATGCAGCCATCCGTCTCTGCTCCTGCGATGGGAACGATGTCAAACGGCAGTGCTCATCTTGCATCATCTGCCCAGCCAATGTACAATATCGATCCTAGCCTGAATCGAGATGAATGGGCAGAGCTTTTGCGAACTAAACCAAACATCTTCATGCAAACTCTGCTTTCAGCGCTATCCGCCCCAAACCCAATTTCTACTGCTGGTCCCACAGTCGAAGAAGCTTTCAAGTCTCATCTTGTCTCCTTGGCTCCCACTGCCACCCAAAATAAGGAAGCCCATTCTATTCCTTCCCTTTATTCGATCCTCAAAACATTCTGGCTACCCTCCTCTCCGTCTTATTTTTCTCTAACCGCTTCGGCTTCCACAGCTCGCACACCCTCAGAACATCGGTTCTTATATTGGGACCCACAGCCTTTGGTCTTTAACGGTATTGCTTGTCCCAGTTGTTCTACTCCCTTGGTCAATCGCGGTCGCATTCGATCTGGCCCCATCAAAGTATACGATCTCGAAAAACCATTCTTTATTATTGGCTGCGAGTATGCTTGCAAGAGCTCTATGTGCAACGCGAATACCAATGCTGAAGGTCGGAGATTTGCAAGCACAGATGCCTCGATCTTACGAGCTCTCCCTGTGAGATTGAAAGACGAGTTCCCAGCACATCTTCTACAAGGCGACACAGATATGGGTAGCGGTACCAATGTGTGGAACTGGCATGCTATGGGTGTCTCCTTGTCGTTGTGGAATATGGTAAAGGGATGTCTGAAAGCTGGAATGGGCAGGGAGGCTGTTCTTCACATTATTCGTGCCATTCAAAATGGTGTCCCAGATGACACTGAAAAGGAAGAGGAGGAGGAGGAAGATATGGAGGAAGAGCCGGAGCAGGATATTCATGACGATGGTGGGGAACTGATGCAAGATGATGATGCTGGACCAAGTCACAATGCCGTCAGTTAACGTTTCCCTGCAATCAATAGACAGGCTAATGCTCCTTTTAGAATAATACATCAGACGAATATAATGACGCATGGAAAGCAAACAGCGTTGTAGCTGATGCGGGTGCTACCAACGCCCCACAGACTTCGGCTTCGGCCAACGGATCACACGCTGCGCATGATATGTCTACTCCACAGCCTGTAGCAGCAGCGCAACCCCAACAATTCACCTTCGCCCAGCCAGGACCTTATGTGTCTTATCCATATCCACCCTATCCTTATTATCCTCATGCCATGGGGCAACCACCTAATCCACCACCTCCCGATAATAGTACCCCTGAACAAAATTCCTTGAAGAGACCCTTTGGCTTTGGTGACAATCCAGGATCCGAAGTGGCGATTTTGGAGCCATCTCAAAAACGCACTCGTCATTGTTGTAAATGTGGGTCCCAGGATTGCAAAGGGAAAGGAGGTCGCTCATTCTGTTTGAGTGCATGTCAAGATTGTGGTAAGGTGGACTGTCGCGGAAGGAATAGTAGGAGGCCTGATAAAGTGTGTTCAGAAGCGTGGACTTAGTGTCTGGCTTTTGGATTCATTTGGGTGCTGTTAGCTAAAATGTTCTAAGCGGTCTTGTATATTATTAAGTTAGTGGATAGTGTATCACAGTAAACTTACAGAAGTATCCAATTTTTTGGCATATTTTATTCCGAAAATCAAAATCAGGACCCCGGAAGCATCATGATATAAACAAGGGGAGTGAGTTCATTAACATTCATCAGCAGTCGCCTTGTTTTTGGTTGCTCCTGGTGGTGAAAACATTATTTTGTTCCTCTCGGGCTGGTGTAGGTGCGGTTGCATAATGCGCTTTCGTGCAACAGTTGAAAATGTTCCAATTTTCTTTCGTGAGTACAGCATGTTTAACTAAGATATACCGGCTAAATAAATTTGAACAGGTATTATACAAGCTGTAGAGAAACTCCAAAAGAAATGCATCATAAAGTTCACAGAGGCCGAAATGCACATCATCTGCCACAACGATTCTAATGAAGGTGGCATTCAAGTTTGGTCGTAAGTAGAACTGACATCCTCTTATTCGTGATATACTTATTCGTCCCGATCGTAAGGTCAGAGTGGTCAAGGCCGAGTCGATTTTTACTTCGTATAGAATACAATCCAATGCAGACAATCAAATTACGGTCACAATCTCTACCGAGGCTCTGCTATCAGCCCTTAGATCCTCTTCTTCATCTGCTGCATCTTCCATCGTAGCAGCTGCTATCCTACCCACTTACGACGCCGATGAGGTTGTGATGAAATTGGCAAAGAAGAATGACCAGGCTGTTCTAAGTTTCGAAATGTTTGGGACTTCTAGAACAGGGAGGAAAGTGCGAGTGGCACACGACGTTCGAATCGAGGTCATGCGACCTGTTGAAGTTGAAAAACTTCGGGAGCCCCTGTGCCCTGAGCCAGACGTACGTTTATGCCAAGAAGCAGATCACCAACTTATTCGGTTTTGTCCCAGGTTCACATTCTGCTTCCCCCTCTCCAGAAAATTCGTACCATCGTCGAGAGGCTGCGTCCCCTTTCTGACATTCTAGCTATCCGTGCTAATAGTAACGGCAAATTACAAATTTCGATTAGCACCGATGATGTAACGCTTGAAACGCAATGGGTAGGTTGCGCGAATCCACCCATGAGTAAGTCTTACATCTTGGTGCACAGCATGACCCCGACATGCAGCCCTTGCTTAATGCCTCCCAGATCGAGAAGGGCCAACGCAAGATAAGAGCGACGATGATCAAGACCGAGATCCTGAAAAAATGTACACTGTTCTGGTGTCTATCCGCAGTTTTCTCAAATTCCTAAACAGTCATGTTGTATCTACCACTACTATTGCATGTAAGTACTTGACAAAGACCATACTGATATCTGCTGATGTTTATCACGATAGGTCTATGTCACAGTCACTGTATTATTTTGTATGTGTACATCGGGGAAGTGGCGGACGCTGGTGGAGTTCTGACATTCTACATTCCGAGTGTGCTCGATGGTGACGGCTGAAGTAGCTATTGATAGGAGATAACTTATCTCGTTTGCGCTGTCTTTGAAAGCTCTTGTAAACATAGATTAGCCACCTGTGATTCTGGCCGCATACATCGAATTACGTACACACTCACATTCGTCTTTATTGCCTTCATGTCCTTGTACTACCGCAGAAAGAAGCCTGAAATGTCTGTCGATTCCTTCCAATATTCCAGTCACTGTCTGACTCAGAGTTATTCTCTTGGGTAAAGTACCACTGGGTCTTTAGTACCACAGCCAGGGTCAAAGCTGAACACGACAAATCTTTCAGCTCGGCAGGTTGACATATCACAACGTAGATTGTTGGGTGGCACACAGTCGGGATATATCCATAAAATTCCAGATGATGTTCTGGTCATGATATTTCATCAGGTCCTCGTCGATGCCCCCAATAGGAGGAGGCGCTATAAATTGTTAGATTTCTCGCATGTATGCGCTCGTTGGAAAGCCCTTACTATTGGAACTCCATCGCTATGGGCCATGGACATCTGCGTATACCAGAGGCAGTCCATGAATCTACTGGACTTGTATATCAAACGCTCATGGCAATGTCCTCTCAGTATTCGGTTCCTCAGTGCAGGCTTCGATCGCTCTCTACCCGAGTATGAGCGTATCGAAGTTTTTATGGATAGCTGCATGCTTCGCTGCCACCGCTTGGAGGTTGTTGCTCATTTTACCTCGATTTCCCCATCACTTTCGTGGTTAATAAGGGGATACGCTCCCTCCCTTAGGACGCTTATCTTAATCCAGGACGGTGGATCGATAAACAGACCCCCGCCACTTTTGAGAGGAGGAGCCCCTATACTGTCGTTGCTCGAAATGCAGGACCTACCAGCAAGCACGTTCAATATACCTCTCAATCCGAAGACCTTGACTTCCCTTGTCATATCTAATCCGTGTCATATCGAATATGGAGGCTTATGCGCTCTTCTTGGTGAACTGCCGTACCTGACGAGCCTTGCAATAGATGCCCCAGTTTATTTCAGCTCAAATAGACACCCTGATATCGTCGAACTTCATCATTTGCGCTTTTTGCGTTTCAGGCCTCGAGAAGAAAGGCAGCGAACTGGTTATATCTCATGTGGAACGCTTTCAACCATTAGGGCACCACTATTGGTCCATCTAACACTAGGTCTCACGTATCAGAGTCCTAAGGTACTGGGTGATCTTTTAGAATCCCTTCCACCGGACCCTCCTGCTTATTCCGGACTCCAAACCCTTATCTTACACTGCAGCGAGCTCGTTACTTCTAATCTTGCATGGGCCCTCGCCTCTGCTTTTCCCGACGTCACCTCCCTCCGACTCTTCGGCTGTTTGGAAATAGTCCTTGAGACCTTGGTTGGCCGAGCAAGTGGTGACAGTGAAGTGTACTGGAAATGTCTTCAGGAGCTAGTCCTGGATTCTCCAAACATAAATTTTCACAAACTCACCACGGTGGTTCGGAGGCGGAAGGAGATTGGTCGCTCGATTGGCAACGTTAGAATCGAGGGTATAGGGAGGGTCGACGGATGGATTTGCGAGCAGCCACTTGATCTGAACCCCATGCTTACTTGTCGTGAAGTGCAGGAGATTAATGCCTCGTTAGCCATGGAGTAGGGTCTAGTGGAGAAAAGAGTGCGATAGCTGTGTTAAGCTATTCGTTGACTGGTATCTTAACCATTGGCGATTCTGAACAAGGGCCTCGTGAGAGCTATTCAGTGGATTCTTCTTAGACGGCAAAATACTGAGCCACGGTTTAGCAGGTGGAATGATCTCTTAGCAATCTCAATACCTCAGCCACGGTTTCATGCCGAAGCTATTGCTATTCACAATGTAGATGGAGAGTCGTTAGGCAGCCACCGTCTCAAAACGTCGCCCGCTAAAAAAGTCTCGTTTCGTTTAAAAACGGTGCCCTTTCGAAACGGGCCCGTTTCGGAACAAGCTGATGTGTTCGGCAACACTGTTCCTTGTCACACTACCGAGTCCCAGTAAGAAACGACAAAATATACACCGAATTAAATAGAATCCTGTCGAATCAGACCATTTACATCGAATCTAATCCAATCATAAAACTTACTCACGATTTTGGGCGCGACTTCGAGTCAACAGAACTTGCGATTGCGTGTGATCTCGTGCACTTTTACACAAAACACAACGCACTGCAGTGTCGCAAGTTCGTGCAGATGCTTGCATAATCGTGTGCCCATATATTTGGTCACATTTTGCACGTGTTCGTTTTCATCCTTTGTCCTGTACCACCATCTGACAAAACTGGATAAACCCGGTCTCTGCCAAAGCAGCCATTGTTCTCCATGGAGAACAACCACCACTCCATAGAGTTACCATTGTTCTCCTAGGAGCACAATTGTACTCCTAGGAGTCATTATACTGTAGTGAGTAGCACCTCCGACTATAAGTAGTAGGGGGTTTAGTATAGGAATACCTCAGTCGTTTCTATAGCCTCTCGGGCAGTGGCTGAGTTTCACATAGTTTTATTAGGTTATGAGCCCTGGTGTGCAAAAGCTACGCAGGAAATAATTCTTATTTGAAACGGCAACCTCGGAACCATGACCACAGCACATGATACATCCTCATGTCCAGTTCTCACTGGACCCAACAATTTTCAGATATGGAAACTCCGGATCATCTCAAAGCTACGTTGGGAAAAAGCTCTCCGGGTTGTTACTGGAGAGGAGCTTAAGCCCTCACCAGGAAAACCTACCTCCTTGGAGGATCCTGAGATCACCTGGATACTTAAGGATGAGAAGGCACATGGAATCATCCAGGACCACATCTCTGATGCCCTCCTAATGAGGACTGGAGACCTCACCAGCTCCAAGGAGTTATTTGATAAACTTGTCTCACTCCATCAGACATCCAACATTGCCTCGGCGTTCTATTCATTCCAGCAACTCACCAAATTGTCCTGGGATGGGACATCACCTATCCAGGACCACATTGCGAAAATCTGGACAATTTATTCACACCTCTCCGGAATGAAACTAGGAGTTGATACCAAACTCATGGCTTTCGCTCTTCTCCAATCTCTCCCATGCACTCCTGAATGGCAAATATTTCAGTCATCAGTAATCAACACGATTGAAGAAAATAAACTTACCTTTGATGCAGTTGAGATCCGGATCACTGCAGGAGTTGCACGACAGTCAGGGAAGGCCCCTGGAGGTTCCAAATCAGCACTCAAATCCGAGGAGAAGTGGTGTGACTTCCACAAAGCTAAATCACACAATACCTCAGAGTGTCAAACACTTCAGTCAGCTGGAAAAGGTCAAAGGAAGAAGGGAAAGGAAAGATACAAGGATAAAGGAAAAGAGAAGAAAAAGGCAAATACGGCGGAGCAATCATCTGGATCTGACTCCAAGGAGGAACAGAGTCATATTGCATTGGAACATGTACATATTTTCAAGCCCCTTGCTAAATGCATTCAAGCTTACCTTGTGTCAGAACCCGATAAGACCAAAACAACAATTATTATTGACTCCGGAGCAACATCCCACATGGTCCCTCACCGCTCCTGGTTTGAGCCAGGAACATACCATGTTCTGCATCCTCCGAGGACAATCAGTTTTGGGGATGAATCCTTTGTAAATGCCATTGGAATTGGAACAGTAATCCTACAAGCAACTGTTGGCAAAAAGGACTACAATATTGCACTGTCAAATGTCTTACTTGTGCCAAACTTCACGTTAGCACTCGCCTCTGTCCACAAATTGTCCAAAACGGGGTTATCAACACTTTTTCCAGCAGGGTCAAATGCTTGTGAAGTTTGGAAAAAGGAGGAACTTATCCTCACTGCGTTACACAAGCGAGGACTTTATCACATCCAAGCAAAACCCAAAATCAACCTGGAGTCAGCTTTTGCAGCAGTAGATGTAAATTTATTGCACAGGAGAATGGGACACATTGGAATGGATCACTTGCAACAAATGGTTACAAAAAGACAGCTCCAGGACATAGACACCCTTACCGGAACCCCGGAGTTTTGTGAACCTTGTGCTTTAGGAAAGATGAAGAAATTACCTTCCAAGTCCACTGGAGGAAACCGAGCCAAGCGCCCCATACAAATTGTGCACACAGATGTTGGAGGACAAATCAAACCAACTTCCAGGGAGGGTTTTCGGCACTGGATTATCATTGTAGATGATTTCTCCAAATTTCCATGGATCTATTTCCTAAAACATAAAAGTGAAGCACTGGAATAATACAAGCAATGGAAAGAAGATGTCCAAACATTCTTCCGGACTCATTTCGGAGAAGAAAACTTCACTCCACTGTACACAGAATTCCTCCAGAGTGATGGGGGACGAGAATATACTGGCAATGCATTCAATAAATCAACTCCGAGGAGATGGTGTCATCCAAGAAACTACAGCTGCAGATACTCCGGTGTCGATGATGAGAACTGCAGTTAGAAAACCACACACAAAACAAACTAACACACAATCCTCCCAGATTCCATGGAACTTGTTTATGGGCTTTGCCTCCTAGAACAGTGGAGTGGTCTGGTTGTTCGTGGGGTGGTACGTATAAAGATCCTTCAAAGTAAAACCCAGAGGTGTATGAGTGTGGGTTTTGAGGAGGAGGGATAGTTGATTTTATAGAAGGATAGGGGCTTTGTGACGAGTATAGACGAGCACTACCTTGCTAATTGTAGCACAAGGTAGGTTTGAGAACGACAATATGACGAGGTTCCCAGTGATAGCAGGCTCCTGATGCACAAACTGTAGTGCTCAGAAGGACTCTAATCGAAAGGGATGACAATGACTTCAAAAGTGGGAAGTGACGATGACAGCAGTTGACAGTGGTAGAAGTGGGAAGTGTTGTGACCACACTGGATCACAAGTAGCAGAGTAGTGAACTTGAGAGTAGAGAAGAAGTCTAGAGTGGAGTTCTTGTTCTTTTTACAAGGTAAAATACAGGGGTTTATATAGTAAAAGAAAAGTAGGCTATGCACAGTATAGCTGTGCAAAAAAGAATGAGAAAGAATATGAAGGAAGGAATGTACGCTGACGAATCCTGCGTAGGTAGTACAGGATAAGATTGTCAAAAAAGGAAAAGAAAGAGATAGAACAATGAATGCTGTGAGTAATGTCACAGGTTTGTACAGCCATAAAGTAAAGTCCAATAGCAAAAAGAGAGCAGGAAAATCATGATGTCATGGGAAGATGCAGTAAAAAAAGGGCAAGGCAAAACACTATCAGTATCAACACAGTTCCTTTATTATCAGTCAGACATTCTAAAAAAATATGTGTCCATAAAAATGATTCAAAAATCAAAAATAATTGCACTGTAAATGAATGTTCTGCTGAAGAAAAAGAAACTGGAGCCACTGGTCCACCACCTAGTCCAAATCCGACAGTTCCATGGCCTTACCAATGGACTGGTTGTGTTGGACCACCTGATCAAACGAGGGAGGGAGAGGAGTAGTTCCAATTTGGAACAAGTGAGTCCCAGGCAGCGTGTGGTAGGTGTAGCTGTAGCGAAGACGATGGACAAAAGATAAGTGTACCCAAGTGAATGGGACAGCGATGAACATGGGCGACGCAAGGGGATGAACCTTCTCCAGCTCAAAAATTACCCACCCACGCTCCAACCAGGCAAGACGAGCGACCGATGTTTTGATAGTATATGATGG